ATATATATTTTTTTCTAAATAAATTTATATTTTTTAAAAAATATAATAAATATACTCTTAATTATACTTTAAAAAAACATAAGTAAAAAAAAAGAAAAAAGAAAAAAGAAAAAAAGAAACAACAACAACAACAACAAACCTATCTTTGTATACCTAAACATTTAATTAGTCAAATGGGCCACGAGGTTAATGTGACAATGCCATTAAGCATGGAACATGATTGTAATGGAAAACACTCTCAATCACCACCAGGTGAAGTTGCAATGTTCATCTGATGCTGACATGTTAGCAATATTAATAATATTTAATACCTCTTTGGTTGCGGTAATCTGTCTTATATTTAGAGCATATAAATGATTATTCCTTTCTTGTAATGGAGAGCAATCAATCCATCCTCTCTGGTGGTGATGATGACATAATTTTACTTTAACAAGAGCATTAACTGCTGTAAGTAATATAAGTGATATTTTTTTATTAACTCTTAAAAGTGAGTTAAATTTTAATTAATTTAAAATTAATTTATGTCAAATTTTGTTAAAAAAATTATATTTATTTTTTTATTTATAATATTTCAATTTAAAATTTTATTTTAAAAATAAAATCTTTTTCATTTAAGCCGATAAATCATAAATAGTAATATAAATTATATATTCACAACAGTTGTGTATGTTCTTATAAGAGTAGAGTATCATCTCAACTCACAGCAAGTATTAGTATAGATTAATTAAGTATTAAAATTCATTAATTTTATATTTATTTAAACAATTAAATTCAAAAATTAATTCAATTAACTAAATTAATTAAAGCAGAAAAGGGGGTTAAATAAAACTAAGATTTTGAGGTTTTAAGGCATTCTCCACCGCACCATAATTAATTAATATAAAATTCAAATCAGTGTGCTCTTAGGGTATTTATTATTTAGATGACTATTAAAATTTTCTATCAATTTCATCCTTTAATGTCTAAAGTGTTCGCACATAAGTATCAAATCTTTTGTTATGATGTAAAACCCAATAAAATATATTCAACCTATCCAAGTATTAATAAAATTAAAATGTTAAACTAAAAGATATAAAATGTCATCCCATCAATTGCATGTTTTTGACCTTCCAACAGAGTTATGTTGACATGGTTTGAACATTAGACTTTTGATTAATTTGTAATTATCATGCTTTAACCAATAATGACTATACGTCATCATGATTAAAGGAGAAAAACTTAAATTAATTGGTATCTCAGTTCTCAAATGTAAATAAAAATGCAAGAGCATATTTAAAATGTCAATTCTCATGTATCTGTCAACCACTAAAATATATATTCCATTAATAATCATCATAAATGAAAATAATTGATAACTAAGGAACCGAATTGAGGCAGACAAATCTTATGGTTCTAATTAATAATTTTCCACATCCAAAGCCTAATTCATGCATTTATACAGTCATGTTTGGGTAAAATAAGAGAAACCTGAAAAATAAATAAAGTAAAATAAAATAATAAATTTACAATATTAATCCCTCGACTTAACTTTTATATTTTATGGTGTGTTTGTTTCAAAGTTTTATAATTTGTTAATTTTAATCAAATGAATGAGATACTTTCAATTATAAATAACAATGATTATTAGTTATCAATTATTAATTATTAATTACATTTGAATAGTTAATCTAAACACCTCATTAGTTTGACTTTTTAATTTTTGACATTAATTCTACAAAAAAAATTATTTTGTAATATAAACTATATATTGAATTACAAAATAATTTGAATTACAAAAATATAATTCTTGAATTGGGGAGGACCCTCTTAAATTAAATACCCCTCTCCCAATCCAAAGATTTTAATTTTATAATTTAATATGGTTCAAACCATAAAATAAAAACTTTTAATTTTATATAAAAATTTAACAAAGTCTACGAGTTTTTTTATCTTTTTTATTTTTTTTAAAAATTTTATATATAATATTTTTTATATTTTTTTATTAGTTGTGTTTAGGAACTTAAATTTGAATTTGATGAGTGTAATTAAAATACATTTATTTAAAATACATGTATTTTAAAATATATTGTTTGGATTGAATAAAAAAAATGAATTTTAAATACATGTATTTTTAAAGACATTGTTTTGATATTTTAAAATATTATGTATTTAAAATTGAATTTCTCTATTAAATTAAATCTTCTTCTAATTATTATTTAAATTTAATAAAGTCAAAATTAATAATTTTAATCTTTCAAAACATTATTTAAATTACCTCAAGACAAACAAATTAGATAAAAAAAAAAGGAACAATGACCTCCACTAACATACCATTCATGTATTTAAAACGATGAAAGTTAGCGACCAAGAAGATCAACTAAAGGATGGATTTCTAGGTGTTGAGGAGAACAATGCAACATTTAAAACCACAGCAAAAGATATTCAAACTGAAGAGGTAAGTAAGGAGGAATTAAGTTTATTCATCTTGCTCTTTTCTCACTAGTCTCTTCCCATAAGTTGAATCCCTCTTCTTTTTTTTTTTTTT